CCCAGCTTTCTGAGGTAGTGGGTGTACCTGGAAATCCACTGGGTTCATTGTCCCCAGGCCTTAATGGGTGACTAACCTGCCTCAGCCTTTAGGCCTGATTGAAGAAGTGGCTCTTTTCTGCTTTCTGTCACCCTCATTCAGAGGTGGGCACACATGCCCAGGGAGTGTCTCCTGGGTTTTCCCAAGGGTTATGGGCCATGCATCTTCTGTATGCTTAGGCTGAAAATGCTATCCTGCCCCATCAGCTTCCAGAATATTTATTAGTGATATGCAGCTGCTCTCTGAGCTGTCAAAGAGGCATCCCTTCCTGCCCAGGTGGCAAGGAGCTGTTGCAATGGTTGGTAATTTTCCAGGCCCCATAAAATGCAGTTAACAATGGGAATATGTGAACTAAAGAGGTTTATTGTTTCGAAATCTGACTCCTACGTGAATAATTATGATCAGCAGTGATCTGATTCGTAGTGAAATACCATTAAGAGCCTATGAACCAGAGGGATCAAAATACAGATCCCTAAAGAGAGAACAGAGAAACAAGGAGGGTTGAGAGGGGTAGATCGTGGTGGATGGAAGGAGACACCAGGAGAGCTGAGTCCCATCTCTGTGGCCTGCAGACTGGTAATCAGTTTCCACCCTCTCTTCTTGAGCCTCAGCTTCATTAGCAAAATGGGGATTACAATACCTACCTCAAAGGCTTGCGGTGAGGGATTAAATCAGAAAATGTATGTGAAAGTCTCTTTGAGGGTGCCAAAGCACTCTATAATTATTAGCTATAAGTATCTATTTGAGAAACTGGCTTTCTTAATGAGTAGCTCAATTACCTGCGTGGGGTGCTCATCTGGAGAGCAGCCTGGGGTTGGAGCAGCTGCTGGGATGGCTGCAACAGGCATGCCTGGCCCCAGGGGGAGTCTCGCCCTCCAACACATCCTCATTCTTTGTCCTCTCAGCCAGTGGTGAGCTCAGAGAGGTTTCTGAGCACAAGGACAAGAGGGACGAGCAGAGAGGGAAAGGGAAGAAGTTAAGCCCAGGAAGCAAACGGAAAAGACTTTGCTCTGGGACCTGCCATGGGCAGGAATAGTGAGACAGAAAAATGGCTTGCCTGGAAATACTTGGAAGATTCCATACTAGAAGCCCCCCATGTCCTTCTCAGGATGAGCTGTGGCGACAGAACTTCTCTGCTTGACCAGACTTTAGTAATAAATCCATTGTGTACTTCCTCGTAAAGTCCATCTTAAGTCTGTTTGGCAAGACTCCCCACCCTGGCTCTCAGATCACTCTTGATACCTCGTCTGTTCCTCATCCTCCAGTGTCCCCCAGGTGATGCCTGGTCACACTGGCCTGTCTTCGGCAAGAATCGTGTCAGATCTCTTTCACCAGAATCCTCTTTACCCTTGACGTGTCCTCCCAGTAATTTTCCATGCACCCTGCGCCTTGGGTGTACATTCCCACTTGCCCAGGCTGTATTTTTGCAAGGCTCCATTGCAGCCTGAAAAAAGTCTTCCTCAGTGTGATGTGTCTAGTACCTGTGAATAATTCAACAGATGGATCCCTAGGGGCATGCTGAGAAGAAGCCAGGCTCCATCTGAGCCTCAGAAGCCTGTGGAGAGGATTCAGGAGACAGTGATGATGGACATGCTATGGAATATCTCAGTTCTCAACCACTCACTTGTCTACAGCCAAGCACACTGAGGGGAGAGCAGTCCTGAAGCCTCCGCTGGACGAAGGATGGATGTCTCTTGGTGAATGCACTAGATCCCTGGCTCCATTATTTTAACAACAATCAAAGAAAGTCCTGGGTACTTTCTAACACATGGAGACACACTCCATACCATCTTGGGGAGAAGGGTCCTCCCAACTTAAGGCTCCAGAAGGCAATGGAGCGCCGTGAACTTGTTCACAGCTCAGGAAGTCTTTAGCGATGGTTCATCTCCCATTTCCTTTGCTGGTCCCATCACATGATTTCTTAGTCACAATGGCCAGTTTCGCTGTTTAATTCAGTTCCCATTAGACCATTCCTTAAGGATCTTAGGAATCTGAGATGGCTGTGGATGTTAGTTGGGTTCAGAGCAGAGATCAGCATCCCTGAACTTTGTCTCTGTCTGGAGCCAAGCCCCCATGTTGCTCTTCTGTGGGATAGAACAGTGGATATCCACTGTGGACAACTCTTACCAAGATCTTGGGAGCAGAGGTAATTGATAACATTCCTAGTGTTAAGGAATAAGGTATCAGGCTGGATACCAAAGTGAGCTTCACAGTCCTCCCAAACTCTAGGAAGGGGACACCATCCTTGCTCTCATTGCTCAGATGAGAAAACTGCGACATGGACAGGATAAATGGTCTGTCCAGGGTTGCACATTTAAGTAAATGGTGGTGCTGAGAGCCACACCTGGTGGCCAGACTTCAAAGTTCCTGTTAGTTCAGAATGTGTCCCCAAAGACAGACCCTCTCCATCTTTGGATGGCCCTGGGGATCGGATTTCCTCCAAGTGTGTGGTGACCCTTTGATTCTGAACATTAACCTCTCTAGATGGTCCAGTTGCAGATGGCTTAGCACAGGGAAGAAACTTGGCTTTTATCTGAGCTGACCTGCTTTTTAGAGAAATGTAAAGTATGTTTAAGCTGGGACTGTTTCATCCTTGATCACATTAGCCTGATGACGCTGTTACATTAATCTTAAGTAGCTAATGTGCAAAGTGGGTCAATCTAGCATTAGCGCACCCCGGGGTTGGCTGCTGGGCTGTGGAGAAGGCGATCCTCCTCTGGACTCCCTGTGGACATGTCCCAGAAGGAGCTCGCTTGCTCCAGGGGGTTGTCCTTCCTGGCTGGTGTCTGTCATTAACAGTTTATATCATCGTTACCATAAATTACGGTCTCAGTGAATTAGGATACCTTGAAGCTGGAAGTTTAGAATTTACTAAGTAATAGTTTGTAAAAAATGATGTACCAAATTATCTTCATGTTTTCCATTTCTGTGCCCAGATGAGAACTGATCAGAAATCTCTGTCTCATAGCTAATAGGTGATTTTAGATCCATGACCAAAACAGTGTTCAGTTCATTGATATATATCCTTTTGATGTAGATGCACTCATACATACACATATACGTTTAGTTTTGGTACCATGTGCCACAAACTGTGTATTGAGCAATTTCATGATAATGACAGTCACAGTAGCAGTAGATGACATTATCTAGTTTATACCAGACATGGTAAACATTTCAGATCTGTTCTAAGCATACTATGAATAGTAATTGTTTTAATCCTCATTAAAGTCCCATGAGGTAGCTATAGTTATCTCCATTTTCACAGATGAAGGAAAGAGGCCCAGAAAAGCTAAATAAGTCATTCAAAGATAATACAGCTTTCTAAGTGGGAGAGCCAGGCAAGTTAAACTCAAGCAGTTTGATTTTCTTAATAGTTCAGCTAAACTGCTATAACTCTACAGTCCTGATTTCCTTCATAACTGAAGAGGTAGGTGGGATTGTTCCCACTTCATGTATTAAGATACCAAGCCTCACAGAGATTCCATTGTCTCCTGGTCACACAGTTATTAAGTGGTAGAGAGAGACTCCTGTCCCAGCCAATTCACACAGAAGCTGGTACTCTTAGTCTTTAGTATTTTCACTTGGGGCTTTCCAGTAAACCAGGCAATGTATCCATTCATCCTTTTAGCATGTTAGGGGATACTTGCTGTTATTCTCACCACCATGTTAGATACTGAGCATATAATAGAGGGTGGGCCTGCTGTAATCCCAGCCCCTGCTTTGATGGGGCTTTTTGAGACCCCATCACACATCTGGATGGAAGTCTCTTGTCACAGGAGGTCACACCACTCTTTGTCTCCATCCTTCAGTTTTCTTCTGCTTGGGTGTACCAGAATGTTAACCCTAGGCATTTTCCATACGCCATGTTTCTCCACAAAGTGCACCATCTTCCCTACCAAAGGGTTTCCTGATTTCTTTTCTCTGATCCGCCTACCTCACCCTTGCTTGCCTTGACTGGTGCTGCTTCTGCTTCCTAGAGTCTCTTCTCCCTAGATGTACTTGAAAATATTGTACAGAAACACAAAATCCTAGGGCCAAGACTCCTACCCAGTTTCATTGCAAACATTGCCTAATCATGTAACAGAATTTATGTAATAACAGAATATTGCAAAGCATGGTTTTATAATAGCAGCTGTATTTGTGTACCTTTTGATTTCTGTAGTCAGTGTGATTGTGATCTGCCAGCGCTACCAAAATTGCTTTTTGGTCCAAATATCATGGCTTATGTTTACTGTAGGTTGTAACACTATTGTCTCCTGCTTCTGTTTAAATTAATGTGGTGATAGATAGCCTACAATTTGTTGTTCACTTTTTAATGAAATCTAAAGTATTTTTGGAAGTTTCTAGAGCTGTGCCTTGGGAATTTCCTCATGGCATGCTTTTATACATATGTAGTTACCTGATTTCATGGAAGTTTTTGGGTGTTACATGCTTTGTTGCTTTTTGGAGTAAAAGCATGTTGTCAGCAGTCACTGATGTAGCTGGTACAACCTGGCTGGACCAGGGGAGTGTTTGCTTTCTGGTACCCACTGCACATTTACCTGGGGTTGGTGGATGTGTGACTGACTCATGGACAGTGAAATCTGATGCTTGGGTGCTATTTTTTAGGGAAGGCACATATCCAGAAGCCAAAGGCTTTTGTGTTTTGACATTGGTTTTTAGGGGGGCAATCTGAAAGCTAGATACTCTGGACTAAATAAGGGAGAGGATGGTAGAGAAACTTGTATCTTGCTCTTTTACCTTGCATAGCACTTTCACATTTTAGGTACCTGTATCTAGCCTGTAAACCTCAGGTAGGACATTAATGTACTCTTCAGCTCTGAAACTCTGCTTGGATTTTTATACTTTTCTGTAGCTGTTCCCTACTCATCAGAGGGAGCCCGGATTAGACATGATCTTGAGACACAGGGCCAAAGAGGCACCACCTTCTGAACTCAGATTGGTTTGTCTGCTTTTCCCAGGGACCTGATGCCGAGGACCCTGGACGGGCAGATCACCATGGAGAAGACACCCAGCTACTTCGTGACGCGGGAGGCGCCCGCGCGCATCTCGGCCATGTCCAAAGACACCAAGCTCATCGTGGTGGTGCGCGACCCGGTGACCAGGGCCATCTCGGACTACACGCAGACGCTGTCCAAGCGGCCCGACATCCCCACCTTCGAGAGCCTGACGTTCAAGAACAGGAGCACGGGCCTCATCGACACGTCGTGGAGCGCCATCCAGATCGGCATCTACGCCAAGCACCTGGAGCATTGGCTGCGCCACTTCCCGCTCGGCCAGATGCTCTTCGTGAGCGGCGAGCGCCTCATCCGCGACCCGGCCGGCGAGCTGGGCCGCGTGCAGGACTTCCTGGGCCTCAAGCGCATCATCACCGACAAGCACTTCTACTTCAACAAGACCAAGGGCTTCCCCTGCCTCAAGAAGGCCGAGGGCAGCAGCAAGCCGCACTGTCTGGGCAAAACCAAAGGCAGGGTGCACCCCGAGATCGACCGCGAGGTGCTGCAGAGGCTGCGCGACTTCTACCGGCCTTTCAACCTCAAGTTCTACCAGATGACCGGCCACGACTTTGGCTGGGATTGAGTGGACCCGGGGCAGTGTAATTTCCCATGTGGCTTATATATTGAGAGAGATTATATGTATGTAAAATGTACAGAAATCTATTTTATAATAATTTATTTTTAATTCATAAGCAATTAATTCACTAAGCTGCCTAGCCACACTCTGTTGAGAGCCTCATGATCTGTCCACATGGCAAAGTGTTTGACTCTGATACTTTGTTCTGTTCCTCACAATTGATGGTGCTTCCATTGTGTTTCTCCCTTCCCCTCTGTGATATTTAAAAAAAAAAAAAAGCAAGAAAAGCACAACTTGAGATTTTTGTTACGGGTATTTAGCCTTCAGTAGCCGTCCTGTTCTCAGATTGCTGTCTCCTTATGTCTTGGATCTCACCTTCCAGCTTCTGCATCTCTTGTTGCCTGTGTACCTCATACAGGCACTGTGCCACGTCAATAGCACTGTACTCTAAGCCCATGTACCAGCATCCTCATTTATGGGATACTATTTCCAAGAAGGGAGATTCCAAACCACCCTGCTAAGCGTTTTTCCCCACCTCCATTCAGCCCCCCCACCCTTAAAAAAAATCAAAACCTTTACAGGGACACCCACATCCTTCTAGAGTGTGAATGACAGGGACCATTTCCTTTAGCTTTTGATGTCAAGAGGTGGCCCCCATCTCCCCTCTGCCCCATGTTTTGATCCATTAACCAGTTAGAAGTGTATGCAAATGTCAAGTCCTCTTTCCCAGGTGACATATGTGAGATGCTTGGGTGATTGTTTAGACATAAGATGGGCTCTTCTCACTTGCATGAGAATGTACCGTGCTCCTTTCTCTAGGCCAACAGCTCTGCTGAGACACACCAAAGAATCCCACAGGCTTGCAGAACCATTGGTTCCAGCCCAGGGCGTTGGATGTTAAGACCCATAGAGGTCAGGTGCATCCCTTGCCATCAGCACCTACCAAGATGTTTCTAGGTACTGAGCCAGCCCGTGTTGGGCAATAGGCTCATAGCCCCAATAGGTAGAAAAGACAAAGATTCAGAAATGACAGGGTGCCTGGCAGAACTAAAGAATCCGTGGCACTTCACCTTGATGCCTCTTTGGAATTCCTAGCTCATCTCAGAGTGACCACATGATCTGTGGACATTGACCAAACAGCGGCCCGTATAAAGACAGATCAGGAAAGCTGTCCTGTAGGTCCTTGATCTGATTGTAGCAGAAGGGTGCAGGTGGCTCTCCACATACCTCTGTGTTGAGAGTGCAGTTTGGGGTCATTTGTGATGACTACCTAGTGACTGTTGGGTAGCTGTATAGTGATATCACATAATGACACATTTAGTTAATCCCCAGCTTCCTAAACTAGAATGTTTCTACCACAAAAGAATTGTTATTTTCATCAAGGAATTCGTGGGAAGATTGTCAAAATGGTTGCATAGTGATATTTACAAAAGATTCTTTTGTATGTTCTATGGGATAACTTGCCTGATCAAGTGAGAAAAATTGTATGAAAAGAGAATTCATCTTTAGAAACTAATCAGAGATGTCGCTGGTCTGTTAAGTGATATTTGGTAATCTGGTTTGTGTTTGTCCAAGAGTATTAGGCCAGCTGTAGCAAGCTTAGGCCTAGTAGCCAAGCTACCACTGGATAGGTTTGGTTTAGGGAGGAAGGTGATGAGAAGATCTGTGTGCTCCTTAGAGGTCACATCCATTTCATAACTCTTTCACTGTCTACAAAGCAATGTGGGACCTGCATGTAAGCCAGCACCTTAGTCATAGCATGGTTCCTTCCTCTGGCTGCTTGGGTGTGAAATACACCTGCATAAGGTGCTAAGTAGTTGTGTATTTTTCTGTTTGGAAGGCTTATTTGAAATCTAAGTGAGAATACCTCATTTCACTTAGAGCATATCCTTGCTTGAGGTAAAAGGCAAGTCCTTCACCTAGGTCAGCTTTCTGGCTGCTTATATGGCCTGAGTCATGATACGGAGCTGCAAAACATTTAGAGAGAAAGGCGTGCAACCGAGTGGTAGGAAAACATGTGTGAGTCTTTCCTTCCCCTTCAGGTTTCTGCCTTCTCTCCAAGCTGGACAATCTTCAATTGTTTATTCCCCACTCTAAAATAAAACTGAAACAGGAAACTTTGAGATAGAAGGAGGGTCATTTAGTCACGAACACCAGAATGGGTCAAATGTCTATTCTGAGTCAAATCCTTGAATCCAAACAGATGTCAATAATTAGTAGTGGTGGAGCAAGGCAAGTTTTTCAATGTAAGAGAAATAAATCAAACACCACGTGCATCTCTTCACAGGGTTCGGATAGCTTATAGTTCCTGACTGGTCCCGATGTAGCATCCACCCAAGGTTACACCTCATGTGATGGTCATTATTGACCTCAGCGTCCTTTTCTTGGACAAGTTAGGCAACACGGAAAATTAAGCTCTGGATTTCTTCCTGTTCTAGCCATCTGCAAGGCCACAAGGCTTACCATCTTAGCTGCTAGAAGACACACCATTTCATGTTTGGCACTTTGTCTCAGCACGTATTGGGATTCTTCCAGTTTATAGGAAAAGCTCGGGTTCTGATTGAAGTACTTTGTTCCTCTCAGTTTTGTTTCTTTCCTTATTTAGAAACAGAAGAAAAAAAGTTAACAGAAACATCGGAGATTTTTAGCATTCCTACTGATCAGATGTTTTCTTTGAGGTGTTTGTGTACAGTAGTCTGTTAACTCGTTAGGTGGTATCTGGAAATGTATTTTAGGTATGGTGCTTATGGAATATCTTATCTGAATGATGGAGGAGGAGAGATGATTTTGTGGGTTTCTCTTCAGGAGTCATTTTGAGTGACAGATGCATTTTAGGTCTTTGGACAAACACAGTTGCAGATTCTGCCAGGATATTCTTATAAGGAAGGAAAAGGGAAAATTCCAATAAACTAGAAACCCTTTAGAAAATACTACGATGCTGTTGGAGAAGTCAATCTCATTTCTGTTATCAGTTTTTCAGGAAGAATGGTTAATAAAACTTAAAGGTGTGGTTAGACTTTTTTCACTTTTGTAACATTAATTTATGACTGAGTTTCATTCAGCCCACTAATCTAAAATACTGTGCAAATTCTAGCAGTATGTCTTCTATAACCCGGATGTTAGACTAGCCAGTATGTACAAGAAAAATAAATCAAGTATTTTGTCCTATGTATAACACAAATTAATTTTACACAGAGAAAGATGTTTCTAGGAAAATGAAATTCTGATAATTCATACTATTTCTTTGTATGAACAAATAAAATATATTTTACCAATTTGTGGGTACTTGTATTTTTTTTTGTTTTGTTTTTGTTGTATGTTTTATTATGTGTCACAGAAGGAGAAGGTAGCAATCTTTTATTCAATAGTTGGCCACACATGTGCATACATATGCACACACACAACATCATTCTCCAGCAGATTGATTTTCCAGATTTTAAAAGTTCTAATACAAAAATCAACTAATCCACAAGAATTTGGAATGGACTTTTTTTGTAAATGGCCCTAAGGGAAGATAAAGGGAGAGGGGCCCTGTACTCCGGCAGCGCTTATCTCCGTCCCCCACCCCAACCCCACCACCGAACAAGGGCTATCTATTACATAGGCTTCTAGATACTAAAGCTGCTGTGCTAAAGGCTTTCAGAGCCACACGTTCCATCCAAGGTGGGTTGTGGGGCAGCCACATGTCACACGACAGGTGTGATGTGAGCAAGCACCTATGGCTGTGTGAACTCGTGTAATAACAGTCCCTGCTCAGGTTTGCAGTGTTCTCATGTTGTAGGGAACCTTATCTGTGAGATGGAGGCAGAAAAGGACTGGACAAGACACTGTATCTTTAATTTGTCTCAAAAGACCTTGTGTTTTCTTTGGATGCAACACGCATCTGTCTAATCATTGTTTACTACTTTAAACATTTGGTTCACTCTTACTTGACTTAATTCTAAAGGAAGTAATACAGTTTAAATGAAAAACCATGGTCTCATGCCATAAAAAGGAAGCGGTTATGAAAGGAAAAACCCAGTGGAACAAAGTGATGCTGTACGTTCTAGCTAGATGGAGTCACTAAAGCCACGTTAGCCTTTACCTCAGGCTCTCTGCTCCTGGCAAAGGGTTCTACTGTCAGGACTAGCACCTACGAGTTTTTCATCTCGCCAGGAAGGATGAATGAGAATTAAAGGAGTAGCCTGCTCAGTGTTACTTAGTTTGAGCCTGTGTGCACATTAAATACAGAAAGCCCCTCCCCAAGTCATCTCCTGTCAAGCAGAGTTTACTCACCCTGGGAAATACTAGGACTTACATGAAGGGAACCTCTTGGATAGAGGCACAGATTTGGAAATTAGGCTGGCATTTGGGGAAGGCAGAGGGAAGAAAACCTGGCAAATGGAGGAGGAGGCAAGGTGGTCAGTCCTCAAGATCTAGTTTTCAAAAGCCAGCATTCTATGCAGAATGGGTCTTTCAAAGCTAGAAATATGAGCCAGGTGCAGTAACTCATGCCTGTAATCCTAGCTACTTGAGAGACAGAGATCAGGAAGATTTGGTTCAAAGCCATTTGGGGCAAAATGTTCTTGATGCTCTATCAAAATCAATGACTGGGTGTGGTGGCACACCCTTGTCATCCCAGCTACAGCAGGAAGCATAAATAGGACAATCTTGGTCCAGACCAGTCGGGCATAAAAGCAAGACCCAATTCCAGAAATACCTAAAGCAAAGTGGGCTGGCAGGTTGGCTCAAGTGGTAGAGCACCTGCCTAGTAAGTGTGAGGCCCTGAGTTCAAACTCCAGTACTGCCAAAAACCAAATAAGTAAAAACATAAGAATATGTCATAAAGTGACCTATGTGTGTGCTCTAATTGTCTGACTTTGTACCCTATCTCACCAATTTTATGTTTTCTACATAAAGGTGACAAAATAGATCTAAAATGTACTCATTAACCTGATGGGATACATCACAGCAGTAGTTCTCAAGCTTGGGCAAATAATTGCATGACCTGAAGAGGCCTGACTCTTCAGAAACCAAACCCTGTTTGGGTTTCTTTGAGAAATACCTTAGGCCATTTACATTTGGAACCTGTACAGGGTGAAATCCCAACACTGACTGACAGGTTGGGCATCCCTAATC